TCTCTAACGGCTACCGCTAAAATTCGCCTTGCCCGCCGGAATGTAATTTTCAAAGCGAAACAAAAATAGAGCCTCATCTCAGGTGAACTTGAACACGTCGAAAACACAACAATTTGCTTTAATCGAAGAAAGAAGCTATTTGGTCCTTAACGAAGAAGAAAGAAAACAAGAAAGAAAAGCTAACGGAATCTTTACACTTGACGGTGAAAATGACAAGAAGGTTAAAATCCCACAAAACTTCGCACAAACAAAGTCGCTGCCGAAACTACAAAGCGGCTCTAAATGAAAAACGTACCGACCCTCCGCAGTGATTCTTCATTCGTAGTTCAATTTAACAATTCAGTTTCGAAGACAAGGGCGTTCTTGCAGCTTACGATAAAATTTTTTGAAATCCACGCAAGCATGCCAGAGATGCAATCCGCTGAATATCGAAGGACAATCCAGCTAAAATTTTTCATAATTATGCGAATGTTTGGACAGTTAACCAATCAAAATCACTACCCCGTTTTCGTGTGGTGACGTCACTGGACGGCAAAAACGGCCGGTCGATTTAGACGTTGCTGAGAGGAGAAAAAGACTCAAAGTAATCGTCTAAAATTCAGGCTACCAGAAAAACGGCTGCAATTAAATAGGTAATGGTGTCATTTCGTTGCTATGACAACCTGATCATAACAATTTTTCACTTTATCTGCTATAGGCTGTGGAGGTAATTTTTCTAAATCTTTGTTTTTGGCGACGAATCTACTTGGGACCCTGAAAAATCCAATCGAGCCACCTTAAAATACTGAGGGCACCGACCATCTATGCATTTTCTCACAAGTAGGCTATGTTCATCGAGCCTTGGACATGGTCATTTTAAAATGTTCGTTCAGCTAAGGTGTTCATCCCAGATAACACCCAAATATTTAACGTCAGTAACGCGCTTTGTGGCAGAGCCATTGATAGTAACCGAGAACTGATTTTTCTTACCATGCTTTTGTGAAGAACCAAACAGCATTGCCTCAGTCTTTAATAGCTGTGTTAATAAATAAATGATTAGAATGAAACCAAAACTCAATGGTTTGAAGCTCCTTAACTAAGACTAAGGTAGCCTGGATAACAGACACTTCAGGAGCTGAGAAAATACGACGGCATCGTTGGCGTTCATGAGAACACTGCATTCCACCACCGCACTGGGATTACCGCTCAGTTTGAGGATAAATAACAGCCCTAGACTCCTGTGTTACTCCAACAGACACACGTTCAGCAGTATCATTATACAGTACTCTATCATCATTGCTGATCCTAGCAGTATGTAGGACGTGTGTCAAATATGAACCTAGTTAATGGCTTAGTAGCCTTACCATCAGTGTCTCTGTATCATTATACAGTACTCTATCATCATTGCTGATCCTAGCAGTATGTAGAACTTGTGTCACATATGAACCTAGTTAATGGCTTAGTAGCCTTACCATCAGTGTCTCTGTATAATTATACAGTAGTAGTAATGCTTCAGCAAATTTAACCCCCTTTGGTGCCTTCCCTTGCCTTCCGTATGCCTTCCCTTTATTAAAATGCATATGGTCTAATCAATGACGTCACCTCGGAAAGAAGTGTCTTCCTCCATATATAATGAAGTGGATAGGTTTATTAATGAGCGTCACTCTACTACATATAGGAACAATAGGCTTGCCTAGACTTGCCCGGGATCTTTTAACCCTAATTGGGTAGTAAACAATCTATTATGAGTTTAACATAAAAGCGCGCTTTCCCTTCAGCATGATTTCATTCTCGATATCGCTTTACTAAGGAAAAAGTCTTACTATCACCAATATTTTTCAAAACATTGCTCCAAACATGCAAGTCGAATCGAGCTGTAAACTTGTCTGACTATTACAGAACTGTTTTCTCCTTTCTATCTCGAGGAAATGAAAAACTATTGAAGTCTTGTCATTTTGACGCACGGTTAATCAGTTAATTATGCGAGTTCGCAAGCCCAAAGTTGAATACAAATTAGCTCTACAGGAAAGACCCAAGGGAGAGAATCTTGACGTATTATTATAAAACAAATAACTTAACAAGGATCAATTAAAACACGCGACTCATAATTGCTAGCAATAAAACCACAAGAGAGATACCGTTTTGAAAACTTTATTAAAAGTCAATAACCAAAAGAGTCAAATACACAGTGATTTGAAAGGAAAAGGAATGAAAATTAATCCTTTGACTGACTATTACACATCAGTTTTTTTCCGTTCTATTTCCAGGAATAATAAATAATCCTTCGGTGTCTACACAATTTTCCTATTGCCTCGAAGCCAAGAGTTCGACTTTCTTTGTTTCTTGCGCTTTGTCTTGTTCTTTGTAGCCGGTCTTTTAGCTTTTGCTTCAAAAGAGGCTTCATTTCTCTGTGATCTTGACAGTTCGCAGTACACCGTTTCTTGTGTCTGTACTGAATTGCGATAGTGATTTTTTCCGGAATGGGGTCGATGTGGGGTCGATGTAGGGTCGATGTGGGGTCAGCGATTTGAAAGAAATCTATTAAAATAGTCAAAGAAAGCAAGCTATCTTTTTTTTACCACGTTTCCCTCCTCCTCTTCCTCCTCCTCATTTTTGTTTTCCCTCCTCCTCCTCCTCATTTTTATTGTTTTCCCTCCTCCTCCTCCTCATTTTTATTGTTTTCCCTCCTCCTCCTCCTCCTCCTCCTCATTTTGTTTTCCCTCCTCCTCCTCCTCCTCATTTTTATTGTTTTCCCTCCTCCTCCTCCTCCTCTTCCTCATTTTTATTGTTTTCCCTCCTCCTCCTCCTCATTTTTATCATTTTCCCTCCTCCTCCTCCTCATTTTTATTATTTTCCCTCCTCCTCCTCCTCCTCCTCATTTTTATTGTTTTCCCTCCTCCTCCTCATTTTTATTATTTTCCCTCCTTCTCCTCCTCCTCCTCCTCATTTTTATTATTTTTCCTCCTCCTCCTCCTCCTCCTCCTCATTTTTTTATTGTTTTCCCTCCTCCTCCTCCTCATTTTTATTGTTTTCCCTCCTCCTCCTCCTCCTCATTTTCATTGTTTTCCCTCCTCCTCCTCCTCCTCATTTTTATTGTTTTCCCTCCTCCTCCTCATTTTTATCATTTTCCATCCTCCATCCTCCTCCTCCTCATTTTTATTGTTTTCCCTCCTCCTCCTTCTCCTCCTCATGTTTATCGTTTTTCCTCGAAAAGGCTCATTACTACTCATAATTGCTAGCAATTACTACCATCAGTGTGTGTATCATTATACAGTACTCTTTCATCACATCTGATTCTAGCAGTATGTAGGACGTGTGTCACATATGAACCTAGTTAATGGCTTAGTAGCCTTACCATCAGTGCCTCTGTATCATTATAGACCGTTTTCACTGTCACGCAACAAAAGAACAAATTGGAGACCGTCCAGTGGAAGAAGCCAAACAAAAAAACAAAATAAACAATTTGTCCAGGTCTCAGGTCTTTGTGGCTCACAGTTTATGAGTTATTTGCCGAAACGTTTCACGCTCCTCTGTAGAGCTTTGTATGGAGATGCCATATTGGTGCACCAATATGGCCAATATGGTTTTGGTGCACCAATATGGCCGCCGGAAATCAACAAAAACATCTGGAGTTCACGTTTTCTAGAAAAGCTCTTTCTTTTCACTCGAGAACTAGCATACATGTACATAAACATATCTTCTAATACTTGAAATGGTTATACTGCTGAAAATCAAGAGGAGAGACTTTTTTTCAACGAGACAGCATTCCTATTTTGGTGTTACGCACTGTTAAAACTCGGAAGTTCAAATTGCTGTATTTGCGAAATGAAACGTGCTACGGGACTGGAAAGTTGTACAAAGATTTATTTTTTTGTTTATCTTCAACCTAGTGTAAATAAGAATTCGTAAAACCTCTCTATTTTGACTTTACAATTTGATGACGCCACTGTGGAAACCATCTATACAGTACTCTTTCATCATTGCTGATCTAGAAGTATGTGGAACGTGTGTCACGTATGAACCTAGTAAATGGCTTGGCAGCCTTCCCATCAGTGTCTGTGTATCATTATACAGTACTCTTTCATCATTGCTGATCCTAGCAGTATGTAGGACGTGTGTCACATATGAACCTAGTAAATGGCTTTGTAGCCTTACCATCAGTGTCTCTGTATCATTATACAGTACTCTTTTTACCATTGCTGATCCAAAGCAGTATGTTGGACGCATGTCACACATAAACCTAGTATCTAGGTACCAGTTGGTGTTTATTCTGTGTGTAGAGTTGTGTCCTCTGCCTTAAATCCTTTAAGGTACAGTTCGTTTTTTTTCTGTTAATTGTCTTAAAATAATTATACTCCTTCAGAAAATATGGAGGATCTACGTGGAGCAAGCGTACAAACGCCTGCACTTGGTGGAGACTTTCCAGGGCCATCAAGGGAAATACGGCAGCACGAAGCAAATTTAGAGAGGCAGCTCAGAGAGATGCGGCAAAGCGAAGAAAACTTACAAAGGCAGCTGAGGGATACTCAGCAACGTGAAGAAAACTTACAAAGGCAGCTGAGGGAGACACAGCAACGCGAAGAAAACTCACAAAGGCAGTTGAGGGAGATGCGACAACGTGAAGAAAACTCACAAAGGTAGTTGAGGGAGACACAGCAACGTGAAGAAAACTCGCAAAGGCAGTTGAGAGAGATGCAGCAACGTGAAGAAAACTCACAAAGGCAGCTCAGGGAGATGCAGCAACGAGAAGAAAATTTGCAAAGACAGCTGAGAGAAAAAGACCAGGAAGTAAATGAATTAGAGTTAAGTCTTTCCTTAGCTCGGCAAACAATAAGTGAACAGCAACAACAGGAAACATGCGATTGGGTCATTTCCCGCGATGAAATTCAAAAGACCAATGCCTTGGTAGAGGAGGCTGGGGAAGTGTTTATGAAGGCGTGTATTGTGGCTGTACTGTAGCAGTAAAGCAAATTCATGATCTGATTCTCTCCCCTCATAACATACGTCTTTTTGAGAGAGAAATGAATATTGCATCCAAATGTCGCCATCCTCACTTGCTTCAGTATATCGGCGCCACTAACGATGAAGGAAACCCTCTGTTTGTGACCGAGCTGATGGAGAAAAGTCTGCGAGCTCTGTTAGAACAGCGACAACTCGCCGAAATAGAAGTACGCGTAATTTCTGTGGATGTAGCCCGAGCAATTAACTACCTTCATCAGAAGAAACCAGAACCAATCATTCACCGGGATGTGAGCAGTGCTAATGTGTTGCTATGGCGACAGGGTGACCAATGGAGAGGCAAAGTGTCAGATTATGGCACTGCTAATTTCATGCAACAGACCATGACAGTGGCTCCTGGAGCTATGATTTACAGCGCACCTGAAGCACTTACATCAAACCAAACAGCCAAGGTTAGTTTTAGTGAATTTAGAATTTTTCTATTCAGCACTGGTTCATCAACCCCTCCAGACTTCAAAGAGACGCGTTGGTGCAGTCATCTTGAGCGCGTAGCTACTTTAAGGCCAGGTTGTTCGTTACTCACACGAAAGAAACCCTACCCCACACCTAGGCATGTAGTTAGAAGCAGAAAAATATTGTTGAACCCGATTACCCCTGTGCAGTGTGGAATGGCAATACCCCTTGCTGCTTAAGCCCCGGTCAATCGGTGGTAACAGTGATATCTTAAACCATCACCATTTGAACTCAAATGTTTATGGCTCCATTATTATGGTCGTTTTCAGGTGTTTATGCCACAAGAAAACAAACTTAAGCTGCAGGCGTCTGTTGTGATTTAAATGTTTCCCATTAGTTCTTCAGTTATTCGTACTGGCGACTTCGCAGATAAAACTGATAGAGTCGAACCGCCTTATTGAGAGAGAGAGTGACGTCCCCGCTTAGGAAGCTGACCATTGTAATTTATCCTCAGTGGGGCCATCTGGAAACAATGTCAGTAATGCGTTAAGCAATAGAAAACGTTTTCCGTGTTTGCATAGCGTGATATAAACACGAGAGGGGTTGGGAGAATTCGAGACAGTTATGCAAACCCGAGACGAAGTCGAGGGTTTGCATAAGTGTCGAGAATTCTCCCAACCCCTCGAGTGTTAATATCAGGCCATGCAAACACAGGAAAAAAGTTTTCTATTTCTTTTATAATATAACTTTCCTGAGAAAAAACGCAAAACTCTTTGTTATGGCACTTATTAAAAGAGAAATTCTTACCAGTCGCAAAGTCTTGTGCACGAAGCCTTGCACGCGTAATCAGTTCTTGTTTTGCAAAAAGATGCTATTCAAATACGGATTTTTCTCGCTTAAACTGTCAGCTTAAGCGAAAAAAGAAATTGACACACCTTCTTTGTAACGATTTTCGAAGTTTCAGCCGACGGAGGAATGGGTAAATAAAGTAAACTTGTCGAGTTTTGAACTCGAAAACTTTTTCAAATTCACGCTTGCGTGATTAGCGCGCGAAAAGCAAAACATCTTGACGCCACGACCATGTTTAAATACTCTCATGCAAACACTCCTCTCGGCCAATCAGAGCGCGCTGACTATTTTAGTTATTTTATGAAATAAGATATCGCAGGCTCAGTCCGAGGCGGTAGGAGAGGATAGCTCCTTCTTGATAGCTACAATCACTGACAAAAGTTTCTGTACATTTGTCTTAACGTACGCTTTTATGAGCAATTTCTTGAAATAAACCATACAACTTTAAATTCCAGTTCCCTTGGGTATTACATTCATCCCAAGAGAAATCGAAAACAATGGTTATGCAAAATTCTGTGAGGTAAACATGGTGTATTATGGTCTCGGTGGAAAGAGTGAATCAGGAGAAGAGCGCTTATTAACTTTCCTCCCTACAGGAGAGGCGCTTATTCGAGGCTGGGTGCTTAATTGAGTAAATACGGTATGATCTAGACTTTACATTCCTTTATTACTGAATTTGCTCAGAAACAGTCAAATGGAGATGTGTGAACTTACCCCACCCCCCACCCCCGCGCAATTTGCTTAATTCTTCAAATCATACTCAGCTTCATCAAATAATATATTGCTAAATAACCAAAGGAATATCAAAAATGACGCTGAGTGGTGGGTATATACTGGAAGTAGTATAATAGAATGTTCTAAGGCAAATAACGACAAATAATCTGTGTATCGTTTATAGGTTGATGTTTATAGCTTTGGTGTGCTTCTTTGTGAAATGTGCATCCGCGAACTTCCAGATCCGAGAAGACGCGAACAGCAAGTTCTACTGATAACGAATCGCGTACTAAGAGGCCTGGTACGGCGATGCCTGCAGACAGATCCTGAAGCGAGACCAACCATGCAGGATATAATCGGTGAACTATCAAGAGCTGTGTAACGTCTATCAAATATTTTGTAAAAACTTTCGCAGTTGATAAAATTGAACTGTTAAAATGTCTATTGCAGGAAATCGTGTCCAATTGTTTATCGCGACAAAGTAGTGTACAAAAGTATTATTAGGAAAACAATTACTTAGGTTAAAAACAAACCACTTACTGGAAGTAGCGAGGACTTTTCTGTAAAATTTTAGTTATGATACCCAAAAGTCATACAGCTGTATATATTTTTTGTATTTCTCATCGTTGTTAATAGCAAATGCCTTTTTTGTGGAGTAACGTTGTTAAAAACAAGTTAAATTGACCACTCCAGATTGAAATACCAAAACATACCATAACGCTCTTTGTTTGTTACCCCAAAAGTTTGCATAAGCATTGTTTTCAGTTTCCCTTGGGGCCATTTTAAGGTGGCCCGAACCTATTTATATGCCCGTTGCTTATGTTTTAGAATCGCGTTCTTCTTGCAATAAAGCTTTGGTTTAGAATACCCTTGCAGATAGTGGATAGCCCGTCGGCAGTTTTCCTCTATTTGTGCGTCAAATTTCACAAATGTGTTAGTGTTGCATTGTAAGATTAAAATTGGCCACCTATTGTGCAGCGAGTTCTACGGTCACGATTGACTTCAAACTTGCAGATATTAAACTAGAGAGGTCTGAGGCTTATTTGCTGAAGTTAGAGAAAAATCTGTCTTAGGGTTTCGAAAATATTGACATTTTTTGTAAAAATGTGGTTTTAAACATATGCCGATATTTCAAACGTTTTTATGCCTACAAGAAAATAAATAACAGTTTCTTAAAGTTTGGCCATTCTTTATTAAGGATGCCAAAAATCATAGAAAGAGGTTTTTCTGCCGAAAAACGCGATTCAAAAACATAACCAACGCACATTTAAATAGATTCGGGCCACCTTAAAATGGCCCCAAGAGAAACTGAAGACAATGCTTATGCAAAATTTCGGGGTGACAAACAAAGCGCATTATAGTATGATATGGTATTTTCTGGAGTGGTCAATTATAAGCCTGGGAGAAGACCACTGAGACGCTAGTCATGTCCTAAGCTTGGTTATACGATGATTAAATCAGAACAATTTTTTTATTATTTTTCCATGTACAATAGATTACGTTACTTGAAAAATATTTTTACGGGGGGAGTTGACGCCGTGTCACACCCAGGGTACTTACAAGATCGGCATGTCGACATCCAGGCCGTGTTTTACTACAAGTGACATAGTTTTGGATGAACAGTGAGATAGCTGCATAGATTAATTAAGTTCCACAAGGCATACATTACTCTATAATTTTAGTTACGAACAAGAACAATTTGGTCCACTGCAGATGTTCGGTCCTGCAATTTGGGGTAAGCAACAATCTAGCACTGGGAAAGATTTATTGGGTGTTGATTCTTCGGATTCGTGCGTTTTGGCCACCTGAATTATAGGGACATAAAACAATTACCTCACAAAGGAAGGGGGGAGGGTCACGGGTTTGCCCTGGACCACACCCTAGCTACGCCCCTATTTTACATTTATTCTTTCTTCTAAAGAAGTTCATACACACGAGGTAGACAATATTTTTTTAATACTGTTAAAATTAGAATTGAAGATACGAGTAGATATGGCGCTTATTACAAGTAGTGGAATATACAATTAAATACGCGTAGTAGTTACTAAATAGCAGTTGTATGTTATACTTGAGTAGACATGAGTTCCCTATGCCGGTAATAGGTAACTTATTCATAAAGCAGGGTTTACCTCAATTTCTGTGCGCTTACTTATTATGAAGTAGGCCGTAGACATAAAACTGACGGAAGATACCGGCAGATGTGTCGCCTATATAAAATTCAGTTTAGGATATACCGTTGAATCCGTCGCGTAGTGAAGCCCATTAGGTAAAAGTTTCCTACCCAAAAGGTAACTTACCTATAAAATAGAATTTACTTAAATTCGTACAGTTGTAGTTATCTGCTTATGAAAGTAAACAATGTTGAAATAGACAATATCGAGTAAAGAAACGATTGTATCAGTGCTTATGAAACGTTTTACGCCGATTGAATCTGCGGTGAAGCTAGCACATTAAGCGATTATAATAGTAGAGTTTCCTATCCAATGGGTACCTTACTTGTGACAAGAACGCGCTTACAGCGGCATGACGTCTCGCCTACTTGGGGATTAGATCTAGAAATGAGGAGGCGATTAATTCTACAAGAAACGTGATTTACTCCCAACGTTATCGACGTCGATACTTTTTATTTGTTTCTGAATTGATTTAGTACGCCTGTTAGCGACGACCAAAAATACCTCTCCGGTAGCAGGCTATACGCGTGTATAAATACACGAAAATTCAAGGGCCTTGATTCCAGAGAAATTACATCATTGCCAGATATCGAAAAAGTGATTTACATGGCACGTCATGTCAATCATTGCCAAAAATAAATCGCATACTCATCACAAGACTCATTTGCATACAGTGAAAGTTTACAACACTCAACCATCGCAATTTTGCTAATTAAGATTCTTATTTTTCTTCGACCACTCAGTAGTGTTCACTTACTCCAAAGTAATCAACGCTTTCAAGCGATAGAATTCGTGGACCGACACGTTTCGGAAAAGCTCTAAATTTATTCCTAAGTTTTCTTCGCAAAACATGCGTGGTTTCGATCACGCAACGATTCTTAGTCCCTGGGCGCGATCCATTCAACCAAAATCCCAACCGGTCTGACCGAAACTTTTCCGGTTGGACCGAACCGATCCATTGAGTTTTGGACCGAAATTTCCGGAAAGTTTGGTTGAATGGATCGCGCCCCCTGTTTCTACGGTCTCCGAAAGGAACGCCTGGTACAATGACCTGCCTTTTGTGTCTTAAATTACGACCAAAAATTCCAGGGAGTACTTCCAGAAAAATTGGGAGGTGGTGTGCAGCACGCTTCCTGAAACCCTTACCCTATTGCAGACCAAAATCTGTGATTTTCCCTGCCCTATTTCAGACCTGATCACAAATTTGATACCCTATTTCAGACCTGAAGCCCTGGAGCCCGGCGCGTGACCGGAGCGCGTGACAAGACACGTACACGGTAGCTGACGTAAACATTAAAAGGGAAATAGTCTTATCGGCAAATGATGAAGAAGTAGCTAATTCTTCTAAAAAAACATACCCAATTCAAGACTAGTGCACAAACCATACCCTATTTCTGACTAAAATAGGTAAAGAAAAACATACCCTTTGGCGCGGCACATACCTATATAGCCCCGCCGGGGCGAAAAACGCGTTGCAGATTATGAGTCTCGCTGCTCACGCAAGCGAGACTAAAAAGGAATACACGTTAATTCATAAGTGACTTACTTATAAAGTAGGCCATGCACTTCAAATAGACAATACAAGGAAACGAGTAGTTATACGGCAGATTTTTCTTTTCCTTCCCATCGTGCACCGCGCTCTCTCTTTTTCTTTCTCCCCAGTCCCCCTACAACACAAAGAGGCCTCTGCGGAGGAGTCACTGCAAAAAGCGTTCCTATTCAATAGTAGTCACACGTACTATCGTATGCCATCTACATATCACATCATTTCTAGGTTCAAACCATTTTACAATGCGACTGACGGCTAACAATTTGATGATATTTTTTGAAGCCCTTGAAGACCTCTTGGTTGAACATTAATAATAATAATAATAATAATAATAATAATAATAATAACTTTATTAATCTCGTCAAAAAGGCTTTTCAGCTTAATTTACAATGTCAAATATCTAAAACTTAGTTTTCCAAAAATACCCTTAAAAAATGCTGTTTTATTTTTACTTTAAATACATCTAAATTAGTGATAGACTGAAACTCGTCTGGGAGACTATTCCACAGCTTTTGGCCTCTGAAGGTAAACGCGCGCTGACCTGCAGCCGTCCTACAGAGTGGTATATGTAGGCGGTCCCTATTCCTAGTGTTGCAGTTGTGCACTTCCGGTCTGGTTTTAAACTTCTGACAAAGATATGGAGGTGCAAGTCCATTTAAGCATTAATTTAAATACCATGGTAGTATCCCTAACCGCAAGTTGTTTAATAATTGGCTGCCACTGTAACTGCTTAAGAATAGGTGTAACATGATCAAATTTCCTCGTTCCAGAAACTATCCTGGCTGCAAAATTTTGCACTGTTTGTAATAGCTCGATGGTTTTCTTGGTGGTATTAGCCCATACTAATGAACAATACAAGAATTTACTGAATACGAGAGAATTAATTATAGTGATCAACGTACGCGTTACATGTTCGGCGTACGTTAGATTACAGTCCATTGTAACCCCCAGGTTTTCGCAGACTTAGATGATGTAATCTCCTTGCTGAGTAGTGTAATGCTTAGATCATCTGGTATCTTCATCAGCATTTGCGGTGTCCCCAGAACCAGAAGTTTAGTCTTGTCCAGGTTAATGCGTAAACTGTTTTTGCAAAACCATGCGGCTATGTTCCGAAGATCTTCTGTCAGCTGATCTGCGGCTAAGGTGGCATCACGTACAGGAAATGAGATGTATAACTGTGAGTCATCAACATAGCACTCTAATGACCCTAGATATTAAACAATGCCGAGCCCAAGATTGATCCTTATGGTACACCATACGAGACTAGGCGTGGTTCAGATGTTTTGCAACCAATTCTCACCGACTGTTTTCTTCCGGTCAATTAGCTTCTAAACCATTCTATTGCTTCTTTAGAGGTACCCATTGCACGTAGCTTCTATAACAGGGACATGTGATCAATGCTGTCAAATGCCTTGGAAAGATCTAATAACACCAAGGCAGTGACTTACTTGCGATCCATTACCTCCAGGGCTAGATCTGACATCAAAATATTGAGTGTCTCTGTCGAATGCTGTTTCTTATTCCCACTCTGGTGTCCAGTGAGACAGTTTCTCCTTATTGCATATTCGGTGAATTGATTTAAGGCTACTCGTTCACATATCTTAGATAGCGCAGGTAACAACGACACAGGTCTATTCTCGTTGGCTACTTCCGGATCTCCAC